CCCATCTTCAGCGAATCCTCCTTCTTCCCCAACTTCCGCGAGATGGCAACAACCTTATCAGCGCCCATAGCCTTAGCGAACAACAAGCCAAAGTGACCCAGTCCACCAACACCAATGATGCCCACACGCTTGCCAGGACCACAGTTATTGTGCTTCAGCGGGCTGTAGAGGGTAGCGCCGCCGCACAGCATGGGCGCGGCATCAGCCGACGAGATAGCATCGGGGATCTTGATAGCAAAGTGGCCGGGCACACGGTTGTACCGCGCATACCCGCCGTACGACTTACTACCGTCGTAGTGGATGCTGTTGTATGTGCCGACAAACTTCTTGCTGCAGTAGTTCTCCTTGCCTGAGGCGCACTCCTCGCAGTCGCCTTGACGGCCGAGGCAGGACTCGCTCTGTGCGCCGACTCCGACGCGGTCACCGATCTTGATGTCGGATACTTTGCTACCCACACGCACGGCCGTGCCGACAATCTCGTGGCCAACGCAGCAGGGGTAGGCGGTGGGTCTCTGTGGCGAATGTTAGTATTTTTTTCATTTTCTTTACGGAGATGTTGCACAGCGTATATCAGCGAGTTTTCCGCGATGTGGAAATCTCGCTAATATAGAAAACACAAGACATACCCAGCCACTTCGCAGAGTGTGTAAATCAGAACCACAGATACCGCAGTGCGAGACTTTGATATCAATGTCGGTTTCCTCCCACTCTTTCGGCTGGAATTCTTGCCAGACCATCTTGCCCTCGCCGGAAGTAGGGTCGAGACCCATCCAGCCTTCGAATTTGTAGTCGGTTTGCGCCATTTTGTGATTTAAGGGAAATGTTCACTGTACACTTCTTTCCTGGGGGGTCTGCCCCATTTGTATCCGAATCTTGGAAGCGGGACACGTCGGAGGAGTCCCACTTAGCTCTACACACCCCAGCGCTGGAAAGTTCGATTTGATGAATAATCGGTAAGCATCGTTCTTCAATGGGTCCTTTTTCGTGATTTGGACTTCTAAGGGCCTATAGAGTGTGTGGTGGTTATCTCGCTGGAGTAGGTGTTTCCGAGAAATTGATTTTGCTGATAACCTAGCATCTACTTTGTCCCTCTATAAGCAGTCATTTAACCCGACTATCCGACTACGTATGATACAGATCATAGAGATCCGGCATTTCAATGGCATTTTTTCTTTTTTTTTTCCTTTCTTCCTTTTTCTGTGGAGCCGTGGCTTGCATCGGCCGAGAAAAATCGGAAGTTTATTTGCATCTCATCGGCATTTGAGCCGTTCGGCCTCGGGAGCTCTCCGACGTAGGGCTAGGCGATAGGTACAATGTAGGTTATGAATATCTCTCGTGCCTTAATACACTGCTACAAGGCTTCGCTGAATTTCCATTTGTTTAATTTATGTTCAAAAACATCACAATAAAAGAAATTGATATTCGAGGCAGAAATGTACAGGCCTTTTGAAGTCCGTTTAGGTAGAGATGCAAGCAAAATTAAACAAGTAAAAGAAAACACCAATCTATCTCGTTCAGTTCAGATTCTCGCGTGCGAACACACCTGGATATAACATCAGCCGGTAGGGTCGGTTAGACAAACTTGGCTATACCATCAATGTCAATGCTCTAGAAGAGCGACAAGATATCGTCGTTGGATTTCTTGGTCTGGTTATTTTGGGAAGGACCCGCATTGCCGGAGAGATCAAGACCAGAGAATCCGTTCATGAGATCACCGCTGTTGGCACCGCTCGATGAGGGCTGGGGAGCACCGGAGTCTCCGAACACGCCCAAGAGATCATCCAGGTTGTTGCTTCCTTGCGCTGTCGGGGTGCCAGCTGCAGGGGAGGCTACCCGTATGGGGGTGCCAGCCAGACCCTCTAGACCGGACATGCCGCCGGAAGGCTCGGTGTGTGCGGAGGCAGGAGCACCGCCGTCGAAATCGATGTCCAGCAGGTTCTCGACGTTGTTTTGTGCCTGCCCAGGGGCTGCGGTGCCACCGGCGGCAGCGGCAGCAGCTGCAGCCAATGGGTTCTCGCGCGCGTTCTGGATTTGTTCCCTATAATTGGTTAGCAACGTGTTCGGCGAACGCAGGATATTGAATACGTACTCGATAGCAGCGCGCATGACGGCGTCGGCGCCGAATCGACCGTGGCCGACAAACTGCTCAGGAGGCTTGTGGTAGACGGAGGAGAGAGTAGACAATTCGGAAAGGAGTTGGTCGAGGAGCGCCGGTGGCAGTGAGTGGATGGTGGTGACGATAGGGGGCTTGTCCGAGAGCACGATGTTCTTTGTCGCGTTTGAATCGCTAGTGTTGGACAGAAGACGCCAGTAGATATATGCTCGGTCACGGACATCTGGGTTGTCGTTCTCGGATGTGGCAGCCTGGAGTACCCGTTGGACTAGGCCCTGTGCCTTCTCGGGCCGCTTGAGGAACAGCTTAACAACAGATGTGAGGATTTGCAATTGGGTCTAGATAAGAGGTCAGTCAAGATCGTAGCATATATCAGGGAGGAAGAACAAACCGAAGAGAATTCTTCGTTGAAACCATCCACAAAGCCACCCAAGATATCACCAGCATTGCTAATTTTCTCGGCATACTCTCCAACAATCCAGATGAGTGCCGCTCTAGCATTGGGCTCATCCAACTCATCAATGCACTGGCATAGAGTGGGGATAATACCTTCGTAGCCAGGGTATTTCCGGAAGATGTCCTTGATGACAACGATCGCTTCCTGAACGACGTAGTTCACCTTGGTGTTGATGAGATCCAACAACGTGTTAACGCAGCGCTCGCTAGCACTCTCAATCTTGATAGCAACCTGGCCGATTGCCCTGACAGCTCGGCGGACAAAGTCCATATCGACTTCAAGGGCATACTCCTTCAATTCGGCGAGGAGCTGGTCCACATTGCGGTCGTTTGCTATGCGCACCATGATCTCAAGTTTCTGGAACTTGACATATTGCGGGTCATTGTATTTGCAGAAGAAAACACGGAGTTCTTTGTTGAGAATGTCAGGCTCCTTCTGCAGGATAAGGTCGATATTTCTTAAAGCAACATATTGCACTTCGGGTTCTGACGAAACCAATGTAACTATATAGAGTTAGCAAAAAGAAGTGTAATGAGAGCAGTAAGGGGGCATACCCAATGGCGGAGCCATCTTCTTCAGGTAGGTCTTCGACAAGTCGGGGCTGACATTCTTCATATGTAAGAACACAGCCTTGACTGCCGCAAGAACCACACCGGCATTAACATGCTGGAACTGGGGAGCAACTCGTTCGCAAATATGCTCCGACTCCTTCACGTCGGAGGTCTTATACTCAGCCAAGGTTGAGAGAATAGTGACGCGCCCCCATTCCGTGCATTCGTTCAAAGCCATCAGCATCTTCCGCAGGGTGTTTCCATTAATCTGCAAAGCCTGTGTCTCGGGGGCCGTGTGCTGAATCTCCTGAAGTGCGGTCACGGAATTGGCAACGACCATGGGGTTGGGGTCTCCAATCATCTCCTGGAGTGTCTCCAAGAATCCGTTCTCGAGGGCCATTGCCGGGTTCAGATCGAAAAGCTTAGCCACACAGATTGCAGCGGTCTTACGGACATATGGCGATTCGTCTCGGAGGGTCTTGCGCAGCGGCTCTTCCATGTAGTCCACCATCTTCTCTACCCGAATACAACCCATTGTTCGGATTGCCAGCGCACGAATCAGTGGGTTAGGGTCTTCTGAGTCTTGTACGAAGGTATTCACGGCGAGAATACATAGATCAGGGTGCGATTTGGCGTAGTTCCTGAAAGTCAGATTCGACCGATTAGCATACGTAGCCACCTTCAGTTGTACTGTAGTACCCACATGAGATAGAGGTAGACCAATTTCTTCTGCTCAAGATCGGATGTAGCAATGTTCTTGAGGACATCTGGGAACAGGGCTGAAACATCCTTTCCTAGGGTCATGGCCATGATTGTCTTCTGAATAGATTCCTTCCTGTTACATTGTCAGCGATACCACTTCTTCGCCGTCCACTGCCAAGCCGGACTAAAGGCTTCACTGCTGAACATACCTTTCATAGGCATACTGGGAACTATAATAATAGTTAATATTATTCGTCATTCGCCATGGCGAGGAAACCAGCGCATGGTGGAGGGGGCCGCATACACAAGTCCAGCTCGCAATTCAAACGTCTCTCCTTTCCGAGGCACTGCAAAGGCGCCGCGGATCTTGTTCATCGCCATGGCGAGTATGTATAAGCTTCAGCAACGACTAGGTCGTGCCTCCGCTTAGAGATCGGGGATGGGAGTGGGTATCGAGTAGCGTTAGGCGACTGCGGGGGATTGGGAGCTCCACGGTCGCGCGAGGTCGGGGAATGGAATGTGTCGAGATTGTTCGTCACTTTGTCTGCAAACACAAAGAGATACGTGAACAATCCGGGGGTGGAGAGATTTCAAGGAAGAATGGGGGGAGAAAGGAGAGAGAAAGGGTGTTTCGGACGATCAAAAGTTGTCCACAAATGGTGGCTTCTGGACCTCTCCCGCTCTACGGTCATCAGCTCTCTTTCCCTCCTTTATTTTGCCCTCTAATTCAGACCATCGCTGTGTAAATGGTACGCTTTATTCTACATCTCGCAAAATGCTAAACTGCCAAGACTAACACATCTGCAGGCTAACCTCCCTAACTTGCGACGCCTCTTTGTCGAGGCTAGAACGGAGGCGGAGGAGAACGAGTACTCGCGCAAGGCCGTATGTCACTGGACCACTTCGTGCCGATTTGATCATGCTAACAGGTGTAGTTTTACAATCTCGTCCTCTTCATCTCTTCTGTTGCCATCTTCAGCTTGACTGCTCAGCGCATGAGTGGACCGAAAGCTGGGCGATGATGGAGACCCCTATTAGCATATATTGGGATATCATGAAGCACGAAGTACGAAATACGAAGTGACATATGAACGCACGATCCGATTTTCTGGCAACCCAGCCGGTTCAGCGAACTGATTAATTACGGAGCCATTCATTACGAACCCTATAATATCCATCAATCAGTCTCTTCGCCCTCACTCTCTAAGAATGCAAGTGACTGTCGTCCCCGAGACAGCCTACGCCGAGGCTTTGCATCCTCATCATCCTCGTCGTCACTCTTGGCACCCCATTGTTTTGCGCCTTGCTGAATCTGCTCGAGATCCGCCTTCAGCTCCCGTTCTTCGCGGATCTGGTTGGCCTTCTCTTGAGATGGCCGGCCAGTCATTCCGGCATCCTCCAGCATCCCCTTGAGATGCTTGATTTTGGCTTTGGGAGTGTCATATGGCGCCAGCTCTTTACCCCACAGCTTACGGATCCCGCATTTGATGAGCCATCCTTGCAGTCGTTTGATTTCAGCCTGGTCCGGGCTGGTATCCTCAGCCTTGGCTTTTGGAGCTTTCTTCGTCTTGGTCGCAGTTCCCGCGGCACTTTTCTGCCGCTTGCGTGGGACCTTAGGCTGAGGCTCTTCGTCAAGCACCACTGACATCTCGCTTTCGGAATCATCCTTGGTCTCTCCGGCCTTTTTGGCGGCATGTGAATTGTCATCGGGAACATCGGAAGCGTCTGATGCATCATTTGTGGGTTTTGATACGGAGCCCTTTTTCGCTGGCAACTTCTTCACTGGCGCTTTTGATGGTTTCTCGGGCTTTGTGACATCCTCATCGTCGCTCTCCTCATCGGAGAAACCGGGTGCATCTAACATATCTTTCTCGGGTTTCTGTACAGAGACCTTCTTCGCTGATGACTTTTTTATTGGCGCTTTCGATCGATTCTTAGGCTTTGTGACCTCGTCACTCTCGTCGGACAACGGGGCTGATAGCTCCTCCTCCTCATCAGACACGGGTGTCCTAGTCTTCTGACGCTTCCTGGGCTTTGACGCGGTCTCGGCTTTTGCTCGCTTCGCAAGGGCAGTGGGCTTGGGCTTTGGAGGAGAGAGGGACATTTCTGAGGCTTGAGATTGTGGATTTTGTATTGCCTGGTCTTGTGTTTCCTGTAAAATCATCGCAATCAGTCTCTTTTCCTCTGAAGCTGCTCTGGGGCTCCTGAGGGGGCGTTGTAGAAGCAAACAAAGACTCACCACCTCGTCCTTGATTATAGTCTCACTCCGCGCTTTCCAGTCATCTGTAGACTTAAAGTACCCTGCTGTGAGACCTAGTGTTTCTTCGGCGGCAAGTCGCACGCGCTTCACAGTCAATTCCTCCATATTTCCCGACTTGAAGATTGTAGCCACTTGGTCGCGAAGGGCCTTCTCAAGAGCCTGGTCAGAGGGAGTGTTGGGCACGTCAACCTCAGCTTCAGACTCAGAGTCGGACATTGTATACTTCGGCGGCATGTTGATGTCGCCCTGTGGTGATTGGAAAGAGGGTATAGGTGTATGAGTGGGTTCACCTAAATGGTCCAGATGTTCGGACCATAAAGCGATAAATAAGAACCAAAAGAGCAAAGTAATGGAAGAAAGACGTTTATGTATTTCAATCAAACTGCGAAGCTGGGCGCGTCTGGATTGAGGAAGCGCGGCGGAAATGGATGACAAAGCGGGATCGAGATTGATCGGCGCTGTGACATTTCACTTGTATATCATTTGCGACTCTCGCTCTGAAAGCTCAACTTCTGGATTTTGGACATATTCAAGCTCATTGACCCCAAGGAGCTTGCATATTCCTTTTTGAGAGTTTCTTTCCTGACGGTTGCACCAAATATCTGTCACTATTATATCTTTCTTGTCTACGCTGCTTCTCCGCAATATATTAGAAATCAACCCCAAATCACTTTCACGACTACAAAACATCAATTACTCGACAGAACCAAATATCTACAAGTGAGACCATGTCGTCAGTTCCACCGGAGCAATTCAGTAGTCAATACAAAGGCACGGCGTCCATATTCAACCAGCAAAACCCCGCGACCTCCGCAAGCTCCTCCAAGCCCACCGGAGACGATGACTCAAAAGCCCCATTGCCCAAGGGCGTAGTCCTGGACAAAGACGGAAAGCCGTAAGTATCTACAAATTGCAGCAACCCGGCTCACCCGGTCTACCCTGTGAGCTGAATCTACAGAACAAGCTAACATGCCAACCTCTCAGCTGTCGCACCTGCACCTCCGTCTCCTCATGGCGAGCATTGGCCAAGCAAGCGGACCTCAAAAACACAAACTCAAACACTGCCTCATCCTCTACCTCGAGTACAAGCAAAATCACAACCTCAACACCCGCCCTCGCTGCCGCTGCGACACCCTCCCCCAGCGAAATTCGTCCAGACTGCCCGCCAGACGTCGATGAACTAGGCCGCTCAACATGGACACTACTACACTCGATGGCAGCCACATACCCCGAAAAGGCAAACATGGAACACCAGGCTAATATGAGCGGGTTCTTGAAGTTCTTCGCGAAGCTTTACCCGTGCTGGGTGTGTGCGGATGATTTCCAGGCATGGATGGCGCATCCAAGTGGACGGAATCAACCCAAACTGGAGAGCCGGAAGGAGTTTGGATGGTGGATGTGCGAGGCGCATAACGAGGTTAATCGGAAGCTTGGGAAAAAGGAGTTTGATTGTCGACTTTGGGAGGAGAGATGGCGGACTGGGTGGAAAGATGGTCGGTGTGATTAAGCTGTATGTTTATGGTGCTTTTGTTGGAGTGCTCTTCTCTCTACTCTTCGGTTTGAACATCTCCCTTGTACATTAGATATGCATATTTCGGCGAATCAAGATGAATTGTACTTTTATCGCTACTGACTGGGTATAATATACCAGGCAAATAGAGACACGGCCTTTTGGGTTGTCTAGAAGAGAGTTTTGGACAAACATGTTCGCATACAAACTAGATCGCTAAGCAATTATAATCTTGGATACAAAAAGACATCTAGACAAGGGGACTGTGTGCAGGAAGTTTTGTCTTTCTCCCAGCCGAAAAAAAATGAAAAGCGCCGCCAAACACAACTTCTCCTCGTGCAGATGAAAATGTACCCATTTGTAACTTCGTTTCAGGAAGAAGAGAAAAAGGGCAGAAAACCGTTACGTTTCGTCATGCGGCAATCAGAATTGACTGGGGACGAACAGGCGCAGGCCGCTGGCCGGGGCACCAATCTCCGTAACATCCGATATCCGGTCGACACTTCCCTTGTACTGGGGGTGGTATTTAGCACCAGTGAAGGGGTCTGAGACACTCGGAGAGCCGCTGTAGATAGGAGTGTAGGAGGCAGCACAGATATCGAACTCGGCGAAGGGGTCGAAGTCAATATCGATCTGGTCTTGAGGGTTGCGCTCGCATTGAGCTTTGATCTTCTTGGCCTGTTTCTCATTGTTAGTATTGGTATATCACAGGTGGAAGATTCAATTGAAGGAGTCTTACCTGTTCCAAAAGCTTAGCGGAGCCTCCATTAGCCAGCATCCGGTTGGCAAAGCTCAAGGCTGAGCCGTAGTTCTTGTTGGCAAAGGCCAATTTCATGGCGGCCATCAATGCCAGTTGACGGTGAGCGACCTCGAGCTTGGGGATTGTGAAGTAGGCAGACAGCTCAAGACTGCGCTTGAGGCCTTCAGGGGAGTCGGTGGAGAGAGTACGGCGCTCGAGCTCGATCGACATGGCGAGAATGTATTCCCGAGCAGTAGCAATGATCTTCTTTGCCTCCTCCACATCGGCATCGGATGAAACGGTGTTAACGAGAACAGTGTGAAGAATGCGCTTGAAGGTTGCCACACCATCCTCCAATTTGTTGGACCGCATAGCCGCATAACCCTCTTGCAGGTCAACACTGGCAACCGTCTCTAGGTCCCGGGGAATGATGGGAAGCATCTTCCTGGAGTCGGTCTCATCGACAGTCCGGCGCACATAGTTGACCAAAGGCGGTAGACCAGCAGTCGCCGGGAGATAGGTCTTAGAAGCCTTGTAAACTTCAAGGAAGCGAGCTTTGAGAGGAGCGAACTGAACGGCACCAACTTGGCGGTTCAAGAGCTGCATCGCAGTGTCGAAAGAGCCAGCGGCGACGTGATCGGCAGCCAGAGGGGAGTTACGAGCCCACAAATCGGCCTCAGCACTACCCGCACCAGCTTCAGCGCTGTCCACATTGACGAAGTCGACCTCTTCCTCGACATTAACATCATCACCCATATCCCATCCGGTAACTTCCTCTTCATCGTCCTCCAGGGTTTCCCGGGCGATAGCAGCTTCTTGTTGCTCTTCCTCAATCTCGAATCCTTCAGCACCATCCTCCTCATCGGCGGCACCAACCTCTCCAAGAAGAGCCTTCTCAAAGGAGGAGTGACCGGCAGCCTTAACAGGCCAGTTGGACTTGAAAGTGGGGGCAATAGGGTGAGGAACCTTCAGAGGTTGGTCGAGTGTGGGTAGGACAATTTGATCTTCGGTGAGACCAACAGCCTCCAAAATGGACTCGGCCTCTTCAATCAGACCATGTGACTTGGCAGTAAGATAGGCAAGAGGGTCTGGGGAAAATTAGCATAGAAGAAACAATTTCCATCGGGATTAATACATACACAAGTCCACTTCCTTAAACATCTGGATTCGGTCCTCAACATCGCCGCGATAGATAGCGTTTTGGAAACGAGAGGTGAAGTCGCCACGGTGTTCGGCAATCTTAGCCATACGAGAAAGCTTCTCCTGGTCGCCGGTAGAGAGGTAGAGGAAAGAGAGCTTGTCGAAGTTACGCTGCTTTTGGTAAGTCATTTCAACAATTTGGTGGTTACCATGAGCCAATGCCTCAGCTCCAAGTCTACTCCAGAAGTTGGGGCGGTCGAGTTCCCGAGCCATTTCATTGGCGACCTCGAGATTACCACATTCAAGGGCAAGGTCGAAGCGGGTCTGAGGGTCTTGCACGAATTGCAAAGCAATCTCCGGGTAACCCTTCTTCTGCAGATAAGAAATGATGCTCTGGCCAACCAAACTCGAGGTCTTGATGATCTGAAGCATTTCGTCGTAATTCCGCTTCACGAGGGCGAGCTTGAAACGGTACTCAGTCGGGTCAATCTCCAAGACGCGTGGCTGGGCATTGCGGTCGAGGGCATAGACGCTGCGTCCCTTGACACGCACAAGGTATACGGTCTGGTCAAGAGTGCGGATGATACCATTGTCGCCGTTGAGAAGGGAGTACTTCACATGGTTAAGGGTGGAGTATAGCAGGACACCGGCGTCATCCCAGGTAGCACTCTTGATGCGAATAGTTTCGTGCAAGGTGCTGATCTGCTCGAGGGTCTTGGTCACAATGGTGACATTGTGTTTGCTGAGCAAGGCACAGTACAGCCCATCGTTAGACCACACCACATACTTCACTCCGCTGACAGCAAGCTCTGCAAGCTGCTTCTTTTGTTGGATGTCGAACAGAGTAACATGTGTAGGGGTGATGAAGAGCAGACATCCAGTGCCACCAAAGTAGATATCAGTCGTGCCCGCTGGGGGCTTGATTGTCTTTGTTGTGGAATTGCTAAGATCCTTGATATCGACCTGCTGGCTCGAGGGGTTGAAGACGGCGAAACGGTTGCGGGCGACGAAAACTGCCGAAGTGGCCTGTCCACGCTTAACATCTGTAGGCTCAACAGCTCCAGTGCCATCTCTTGGGAGATGAATCAGTTCATAAGTTCCATTATCGGCGGGCGTGGTAACCAGAATAGCACGCTCGGCGGGGTTGTAAGAGAGGGTTCGGGGAGGAACCCATGGGGAGCCCAGCTTGCGCAACGAGAGCATTGGTGGCGACTCAACGTTCTTGCTGAAGTCATATGACTTGACGTGCTTGTCCTTTGTGATATAAAACAGCTGGTTCTGGTAGATGGCAGACGCAGGGCGCTCTCGCTCGAGCTTGAAGACCATAACACCGGTGTCATGGCCAGCGGCAAACAGGTTCATTTCGGGGTGGGCAGCGATAACCCAGAATCGATCGAGGTCGCGCTTAAAAGACTGAACGGATGTACGCTTGTTAAGGTCCCATGCGCGAATCGTCTTATCTTCACCAACGGAAAGGATGAGGTCCTGGTGTGGGTGGAACAGAGCGGCGTTGGCATTTTGGAAGTGGCCGCGGCAAGTATCGACTTCCCAAGCCTTGGTATCACTCATCCGCCAAAGCTTAACCAACCGGTCATCACCGGCTGACACGAGCAAGGGCAATGTGGGGTGGAATGACACCCAGTTGACACCACGATCATGACCTTCCAGCACAAACTTAACGACGGCATCGGTGTTTCCAAACATATCCGCTTGGTTTGGGTTGGATCTTGCCATTTGGTCTTCGAACGAAATCGAGGTTGGGGCCGAGTGCTTCTTCCGCAAGCCGGAGATGTCCCAAATTCGAACCGACTGATCCAACGAGGCTGAGGCAATTAGATCCTCGGTAGGATGGAACTGAGCGCACATAACATAATGGTTGTGACCGGTCATCGTACAGACTAAAAACAGTCGAATTATTAGTCGATGTTAATATAGGTAGCTCCAATGCATCTTACTGAGTGACCGGTTTTGCCAGTTCCAGATTCTGATGGTCTGGTCATCGGACGCAGACAGAATCCAGGGTAGCTCGGGGTGGAAGAAAACTGTTCGCACATAATCCAGGTGTCCATTCAATGTGAACAAGCACCTCCGGGTCTGGTAGTTCCAAACCTTGATCTTGTAGTCGTCACCTCCCGACACAAACAGGGGCTGGGTTGGGTGGAAGTCAACGCCGCGAACCGGGCCATCGTGTTCTTCGAATCGGTCGATAAGAGTTCCCATGCGGTAGTCCCACAGTTGGATGGTAGAGGAGTGAAGGGAGACGAGAATCCATGGCCTGTTTTAAGGTCAGATCGGGTGTTTTGAGGTGTTAGGTGTCCCTCCGCGGGATTGACTGACCGTTTGGGATGGAATGCGATTCCTTTGGCTCTGGAGGATTTCGACTCAAACTGCACGATGGAGAGAATGATTAGCATCTCCAATTGAGTCCCATTGTTTGATGGCGCATTAAGATGCCCGAGGGGGGCGTACCTTGGTGAGCATGTTTGGGGAGGACTGCATCTTGAAGATTTGGCCGGAGCCGCACTGTAAAGTAGCAAGCTCCGCACACTAGAGAGCAATAAAAGGCAGAGGCGACCACCGCATCCACCTGAATAAAAGAAAAGAGCGAAAGGTAAACACTTGGTGCTGGTGTTTGGTGTAGCAGTAAACTAAACGTGGACTCTATTGTGGAAGCGAATGACATCGGCCAATCATGCTGCCGGGCGGTGAGCGGTCAGGGGGGAGCTGGTCTCGATCTTTATTTTGTACAACATTTATCGCAGATTGTTTTTACATTGTTTTTAGATCAGGGTCGAGATGTTAATGCTCGATATATTCTCATACTCTGAATTGAAATTGATTATGGTCTCTCTCTTTTTTGACTATGCATCCTAAGTTCAACTCCGACGAGTGGAGATATATCCTCTTCCCCATCTCCCCCACGTTAGAAGCATCTGGAAGGCCATGATGTTATGACGACTATGACTTTCTTGCGAGTTCCATTCTCCTGCGCTTTTAATAGTTTCTTTCTTGTGCTCGATCTTTTAATAGAATACATTTCTTTAATCACATACATGCAACTTACTCCATCGTTCCTTCTTTAGACTTCTTTAGAGGCTTGGTTATGGATCGCAACTTGAACATCTAACACTCGACCTTGGACTGGAATGTCAATATTGTTTAGGTTCAAGATTTGATATCAAAGGATGGAAGACCTCCCAATGGATGATGGCACGAATCCTGCCAAGCCAGACCAGCCCTTTGAATACTTCGCCAGGTTTACTTCCTCTGATGCTGCAGCAGACCACCAGCCGGAGGAAAGTGAGCAGAGTATGGACGGCTCAGGACCCTCAACACCTACCCACGACACGGATCTGTTCGACGAAAGTGATGACATTCGAGTGGTCAAGCCCTATGATATTGAAGAGCCCGACGATGAGTTGCAAACTAGCGTACCAAGGGTAGATCTACTATGTCTCCCAGATCGGTTCGAACGATGGCAGCGTGACTTAACAGACCGTCTGAATGACATGGACTACCAACCGGGTGGATCTAATAGCAATACATTTCCTTCGCCTTCGGTGCGAAGGAGAGGGCAGAAGAGGAAGCCAGCTAACAACACTCTCGGTACACAGCAGGACTATCCGCACTTCGCACAAAGACATGCATCAGCCGAGAATCCACCCGAAGCGCATGAGCCTTACCCCAAAAGGCGAAGGTTTGGCGAACTTCCAAAATGGCATGCTCAGGATATAGACTCATTTGGCGCTTTCCGGGAAGGCAACGCGAATGAAAGCTCGGGTTCCGAGACAGCATCGATCGACCTGACTGGCAACGACACTATGAACGACTCGCACATGGCCGATGAGATGGATATCGACTAAAACATCTTTTATAATGTCATCTTTGATGGTCATTGTCAGTAAAGTCACGCATAATATGTGTGTGGATTTGCCCGTATAACATGACGTCATGTGTATCTCATTGTAGCCCTAGAGGCTAAAAGCATATCGCTGGATCGAGATGTCTTGATTTTTACCACCATCTCAGAAAATCCACTATTTATCATGGCCACACGGACATCCTCACGCCATGCTGCCCAAAAGGCTAAGCAAGCCATTTCAACTTCCGCCGAGTCGACTGGCAAGACTACCAAAGGAACAAAGCGGAAAGGCTCAACCGAAGAAGCTCCACAGCCTAAAAAGGAGAAAACGAAGGACATAAAGCCAGACGAAGAGAAAGCGGAGCAGGTACCGAGTACATCGGCAGACAGTCCAGTGCCGAAGACAGAGGAAGCACCCGTCAAGGCAGAAGAACCATCGAAGGAGCAACCTGTCGAAATTCCTCCAGAGAAACCTCAAGAAATTGAGGGAGGTCTTCATAAGTCCGAGGAAAGAGAAAACGTGGTATCCTCCAACATCCTCGAAAAAGGCTTCATCTACTTCTTCTTCCGCCCACGCGTCAATATAGAGGACCCCCAGAGTATGGGCGACGTCGCGCGAAGCTTCTTTGTGCTCCGTCCAACCGTCCTTGGAGCGACTTTCGACGAAGGACAAGGCCCCGTCGACAAAGACGCCTCATGTCGCTTGATGATGCTTCCAAAAAAGAAATTTCCTACTTCACCCAAAGAACGAGATATGGGATTTGTGGAGAAGGCTGGACAATCTATGCAATCTCTCCACGAAAGTTTCATCGCTGGTAAAACATACCAGACTTCCACCCGAGGTGAGCGTCATACCGAAAAAGCCAGACCTTACGCGGAAGGTGTCTACGCGATCACCTCCACACAGCGGGCATCCCATCTCGCCTATATCCTGACCATCCCTGCCGAGCTAGGTGATGTGCAGGAGGACTTTGGCCTGCAACCGCGCGGGAGTTGGATTGTTCAATCGAAGAGTCCCAAGTTCGCCGGTCCACCAGTGGGTCAATTACCAAAAGACCCAGAATTCCCTCAATCGTAAGTAGTCTCCCGTAGAGAGAATATCATACTCTCATATTAACATTGTTCTCGTTAGGGTACTCGACAAATTCAAAGATCTTCGATGGGTGCCTCTGCAGCCCGAGTTCCTGGACTATCCCAATGCTCAATTCCTCATGATCGGCGAGGCGCAGAATGACCTTGGTAAGGCTGCGTTTGCTATGGGTGAAAAACAGCCTTACGAGGAAGACCCTGGTCAGGAATTGGAGAAATTATCAGACGAAAATGAGCATCGGGTTGATGCTCTCAGAGGTATGTTTCTGCTGTCTTGATTCTCTGTTAATCAGGCTGAGATTGACCTGAACTCTAGGAGATGAAACAGTCTATGAAGACCTGGGCTACCACGCGAAGAATTATCCCAAAGTGCCCACAACTTGGAACAGTTAAGCTGGACTTTGCCAAATCGCAAACAGGGACCTAGAATATCACTCAAAAGTAACATGACCGATCATACTTGAACATGGAAAGGTATTCTATATTGTATTCTGTAGTTTGCCAATTATTTTCCTCTCGGGCAACAAACATTCTGATTACAAAAGCCATCATATGTAAAATTTCAATACTATAAGTCCATACCCTTCCTGCATCGTCAAAAGAACAGATGCATAAGCGGCCAACTATGTATTCTTGTTTCATTCAACCAGTAAATTGTAGATTAGGCTAAATCAGTATATTCTCCTCCGTCAATCTCATATATTTCTGTCCATAGCTACAAGCACATAGCTAAGACTACAGGTACATAACTGAAGTAGCACAACTAAGCCTGAGCCCTTCCCGAAATTCAAATACCGCAAATGTCGTAATTGATCGTGGTAGCGTTAGGAAAAAAGAGTAAAAGGTATGATTATTGGAAGTAGAAACGGCGTTATCAATCGCGTGGGCGCATGATGGCAGTTGAAATCGAATGCGTTCTGAAGGAACATGTCCATTCAAGTAGGAAGCAAGACATCGACCAAGCGGGGAAAACTAATTTTGGATTACTTTTACGGCATGCAAGATGTCCTCAAGAGACCATCCCGGCCCGCCGGGAACAATCTCTGCCCAGACCTCTTCAGGAACGGCATCGTTGGGGTCAAGTAGACTCCAGTTTGGACTAGGCTCCGGCTTAATCCATTTGAAATCTTCGACCTGGCTCCAACGGTCTTCGTGGTCGGGACAGTCATGGTCCAAGGCCTAGATAAAAGAATGTAAGTACAAAGCCGACGAGAAGGGAAAATAACGAGGAGAAAACTGACATAGGCCTTCGGGATCCGACCAAACCGAATATTGGAACAGTCCTCAATGATGGGGTTGCTCGAGCAGCTGAGATAGACATCAACGTCGCTACAGTTGTGCATACGGAATTGGCGGCATGATACCACAATCACGCTACGCTCAATACCAGTGATGTGTGCAGGGCCATTGACTTGACCGCATATCAATAAGCTTTCGTTGATACCCTTGGCAGTCAGACTAGCATATGGCTTTCCATTGGCAGTGGGAATAGACATGGCAACGATACAGCGATCCAGGGAGGTAATGGACACTGGGACGGTGGATGTCGACCCGGCGGCTGGAAGCATAATGTGGAGTTTATGATAGTCATCGACCGACACAGAGGATATGCCGGTGGCCGCAAACCCACCAGGAGGCTTCTCCGAGGACTTCGTGGAAAAATCCCCGGTCGAGACACCAGGGAATGAAGTGGGTGCAAGTTCCGGTCGCTCTTGATGTTCCTTATCCGGCTCGTTCAGTGGGGTGGAAGGGTAGTTGGGGGTCTGGTTTGCGGACGAATCAATGGACGAGGCACCGGGGGAGTGGTACCCAGGGATGCTAAGATGTCCTTGAATTGCCATTACGGCAGCGTCAGACAAAGAGACAGCAGAGTTATTTTTCTTGGTCTTGAAGCTGAACTTTGATCGGGGCTCGAATGCTGCACGGGTCTCGCCCAATCGATCCTGCAAAGCTTTGATTGCCTATAGAGATATCAGTTCTACTCTATTAAGATAGAGTGTGAGTAGTGTTTACCTCTGCGTATACCCTCTGATCATAGGTGGGGATATAGCTCGCTGCATCCTTGACTTCGTTGGATAACCGCACGATCCCGGCAAGGCAGTGGTCTGTTGCATCGGCACGTTCACCACCTACAAGAGATGTATCCGCAAGACGATCCATCTCCTGTTGCAGATCTGGAATGGCAATGATATTAGTAAGGGTCTTTTTGATTGTATTTGCTTGATAATGAAGTGGCATTTGAATATCCACGGGGACATACCGGTGATCTCATGCTGGAAGTAGCGGAAAAAGCGTTCCTTCAAGGAGATATCAGCTTTCGAGACTATCTGATTATCCGCCGACATTCGTCGTGGATGTGGTATTCCTGCTTCAGCCATGGCTTGTGTGAAAGGATGGTTCAGGGTTGAAAGCGGAGACGAACTGGGAAAGTTCGAGACTCTGTGAGATACAGAATGTAGCAATGACGTCGATTCCCGAGTTGATCATGCCACCCCGCAATTGAAGCCAAATCAACCAGAGGCTTCCAAGCTTTCAAGCTTATTTGCAACTGATGATTGGCAGTGGGATGTAAGCAAAAATATCGCAATATTTCCCCACATTCAGGTTTCTTGTATTTATATCTCCTCGGACTTGGAATCCAAAATAAGTTCGGATATTCAGAAAGTCGGGCTATATCAAAGCTTATCCAATCAGCATCCAATTATAGAGACGACATTTATTTTTGAAGTGGCCTCAGACCTCAGACTGACGCGATAATCACTGCAGCTTCACTGTGACGTCGATCATCCCGCATTTCACGGAGGTCGGAAATCAGATGATCCGGGATTCTCAGGCTACAAGGCATCAATTTGACTTATACTTCATATTTTCGTCACTGTACCACACACATTATGTTACCCACTAATCTGGAGATTTGGAGAAAGAATAGGGACAATAAGTTTCTTCAATCAAGAATACCTCAAGGACTGGTTTGTCTCGATTATTTTCTCTTACTAAATTGACACAAAATGAGAGGATGACTTCCAAGTTTGATGGTACAATGTAGGCCCATGAAGTTCTTACTGATCCACAGAGGGATGGGAGTGCCTTAAGAGAGGGTCATACAAATCCATTTTTACATGGGGATGGGGGGGGGGGGG